GCCCACGCTCTCTCTGGAAGACCACTGCACCCTTGCCTGGTGGAACTTGGGTTCCCCCTTGGTCCCGCCCCCCCCCTCGCCTCCAAGCCTGGGCTGGATGTGGTGCGAGGGCTGGGTGCAGGATCTGGGGGCGGGGCCGGGGGTGGGGGGCTGGGTGCAGGCCGCTGTGATGGGGCCTCGGGGATTCTGGCCTGGCTCCCAGCGGGGCGCTACCCAGAAGTGTGAAGTGAGTTCTCCTTTTTTAAAAACCTACTTTGCGTTTTCCTTCCTCCACGTTAGCGACTGCATCCTGTTGCAGACCTCTGTCAAGGCGACTTTTCCTTGAGCGACAGCGCACGTAGTTCAGAGCCGATTGAACCACGTTCTGTGCTTTCTTCTTGCACCCAAGCTGTCAGATGCCAAGTGCTTTCTCTGAAAAAGGGACCACGGGTCCATAGCAGTAGAAAGCCAAGATCACTACAGTCTCAGAGGAGCCTCTGTGCATTTCCATCAGGCCCAGACACACGTCCGCCACGAGGAGAAAAGAGAACCAAAAGGGTTAGGAGACGTCTTCTGGTGAGGGTCAAGGTCCTGCCTAAATCTTGGTGTGTGTCGCAGTTTTCCTTTGCAGTCTCTTGCTCTGGGAGGTTGGAGATGTAGCTTCGGGTGCCAATGTGACCCCAAGAGACACTGAGCCTGTTCCCTAAGGACATGAGCCATATGCTGCTGGGACAGGGTGGGAAAGCTGGCCAGCAGGTTGCTCCTGTGGCCACAGACACACCTATGACAGCCTGGGAGGGCAGGTGTGCCTTTCACTCTCCTACTGAGCAGAGATTTCCACCGTGTTCTGGAGAAAACTGTGAAGCTTTTATCTAAACAAAATATTTCTTTTGTTAAGGGCTTCTCCACACTGAGGCTTTCTAGCCACCTGAGACTTTGACCTCCCAGTCCTCCAGATTCAACATTTGGCTGTCTGCTGTTACTTTTAGTGGAAGTATAAAAAGAAACTCAAAAAGTTTTAGCTTGGGGAAAAGTGTGAATACCACCATACCTCCGCACATTTGACTTTAACTGCTGTTCAAGAATTCCAGGAGAATCATAGCAAAAGGAAGCCAAACACTGCACATGACTCGGGGTGTGGTGGGGGTGCAGCCTCAATAAGCCTGGTTTTAAAAGTGAAAGTTTGGGTTATTGTCTTGTGGTTGATTTTTCTAAATGGGGCATTAGAGATGAATATTGCATGGAACACATTTTTAGACATTAAAATATGCATGGCACACATTTTAAAGTCCTCCCCCCAAGGGCAAGACTTTAACAATATGCTTCTAGGTAATAATGTACATTTCAATAATAATAATAATAATGATTAATGAAGTATTTGCTAAACTCTCCTGAGACAAAGACTTATCAGAAGACATTGTATATACCCCTAATGTGTGTCTGGCACCGGGCAGGAACCATACAGCACTGTCTTGATTAGATTCTAAAGGATTTTGGACCTAAAGTTCCTTACAAATCAAAGTATTCAAATAAAATCTATTGACATATATTATAAAGGCTCCTTTCCCTACTTTTGCTCATACCTAAACTGTTACTTCTGTTTTGGAGGAACTAACAAAGAAAACCCAGGCTTAATAAATCAACACCGAAGTTCAGAAGTTCAGAGTAATTTGTCTTGGGAACAAAGTCTTCCCTAGAGCTAACAGGCATTCAAAGGAACTCTTGGTGTTAATGAGATTATTAGAGATATACCTGAGACCAGATAAATATTTGATGATTTTGCAAAACACTAGGGTTTCTTTGCAGTTTTTCTTCTGCTGACATTTCCTCCCATGGGGTCTGGACCTTGTGGCTTCATTAGACTTTGCAAATGAAGGAAGGCTGGGGTTTCCCAAGAGTGTGCTTGTGCAGGAAACAACAGAGTAGTGGAGGCTTACAAGAGGGTGTGTGTGTGTGTGTATGTGTGTGTGTGGGTGTGTGGGTGTGCGCGTGCGTGCGTGCGTGTGTGCATGTGTAGTGGGGGATGGCTCAGGGGAGGGAGAGATGAGGGTTACAAAGCTGCCATCTAGAGGCGCCTGCCTGCAGTGTATATAATGCAAGTCTGCAGCCGGGAGAGCTCCGCGTGCGTGCGTGCGTGTGTGCATGTGTAGTGGGGGATGGCTCAGGGGAGGGAGAGATGAGGGTTACAAGGCTGCCATCTAGAGGCGCCTGCCTGCAGTGTATATAATGCAAGTCTGCAGCCGGGAGAGCTCACAGTTGCTCCAAACTGCTCTGCACTAGGAGCCAGCGCACAGCCCAGCCAGGAAGGCAAACCGGAGCCCAGCCAGCCGGAGGTAAGGAAACCGTGCTCGCGAGCAGCCCTGCTTGGAGAGGAAGGACAGCAGACAGGGCTTCTGCTCTTAAGCTAAGTGGTCTTTTTTAGAGGACTTCTTTTTAATCGCTGAGATGGAGCTTGAGAGTCTCCAGGTCTAGCTTCTGAGAGCTCAGCCTGCATGCTGCCTGCCTGCATCACAAAGTGCTTCTGCTAATTTGCGACTTCACCTTTTGCAGAGAAAGCAAAAGGTAGTTTTCTTACGTCACTTGTGGAAGGAAATTTCCATTCATATTGGCTGTATTTAGGAATCCGATGTTTATTTGCTGCTGTGGGTACTTAAGCTCCCAGTAAGCAGGGGAACTTAGCAAGAATGCAGGCTGTCCATTCTGCTTGCCCAAAGTTGGCATAGGGATTAGCTTGGCATCACAGTTTGCCTGTTTTGCTTCTGGTATGTCCATTGGGAAATAGGTAGAATTGGCAGTAAATACATAATTCCAGAAAGATGAACTCTTTTTTTTTTTTTTTAAAGAGGCATCTCTAAGTGGAGCAGAAAACTGTGCTGAGAAACTTGGTGAATCCAAAATGTATTTGATATTTGAATTCAGTGCTTTGGGGGATTACCAGATCCTGTAAATCCAGAAGCTATAAATGTGAATGTTAAATACAATCCTTCTTCTTGTCTCTTGATTACATCCTTGCTAATCTAATTTGAGCATTTATTGTTCTCTTAGAAGGTGTTAGTACAACTTCAACTGGGGAAAAAAACCACACACAAAAGTCTAGTATTTTGTAATTTAAATATACTTTTCAGGTAAAACATGAATTTTGTTCAATTTTATTAGCAAGCATAAAGATTCAAGGGGTGACGAGGATTAAGAATTTTGGAGTGAGGTCAGGGATGGGCAGTTAGCCACGGCTTGTAACTTCCAGAGAGAATGAGAAGTTGTAAAAGTCAGACTGGCCGTCTCTCTTTCTCCTCTCTTTCTTTCTTTCTTTCTTTCTTTTTTTCTTTCTTTCATTTGCTCACAAAAGGATTAATTAGTTTTTCAAAAGTGGGCGAGAGCCTCCTTAAATGGTTTACAGCCCTTTGAAGGTATTTGATGCAGTGACATCCCCTGAAACTTCAGTCTGCAAAGTCTCAATGTGGTAACTTTTTTCTTTTCTTTTTAAGCACAGATGCTGCCTTTGTGTCCTTTTATTTATTCCAGGAAAATGTGGAGATCAAATAAGCATGCTTAGAAAAGAAAGTGGAGGCTGCTGGTTTCTGTGCTTTAACTTTCTATAGATTTTAAATGCGTAAACTGCCTGTCTTTCTTTCATCAGAGTATGAGCTTTCCCCAGACATGCAGCTTTCCTCTAAAGCAGAGTTGCACATGGAGCTCCAGCTTGGAAACAATTTGTTCTTTTTCCCCAGCCTCTGCCATAAACACTCAAATGTGCACAGAAATGCTGAGCTTAGTGCCACAGCCTTCAGGAGGTTGGGGGAGGGGAGAGGGAGAGAAACTGCAAGAGATAGGGGTGGAAAAGAACAGGAAAATTGAGAAATGGCAGTATTTTTGCTGCCCATCAGATTTTTTTTTTAAAGGTGCATGCATTGTAGTCATAGTTTTAAAAAAAAGTCCCAGAAAGCATAGCCAAGGCAGCATGCTTGTGCTTAACTTAGTCAGGACTTCAGAGGTGAGTGTATCCCATACTAACAGCAGGTCCTTGGAGAGTAGAGAAAGTATTATGATTTCTAATCAGACCCAGAACAGGCCAAGTACAGGCTTTCTGGATGGAAAAAAAAAAAAATCTGAAACATAAAAAAACCCTACTTAATCAGGAACAGTGGCTTTTTGTGTGATCATTTGAGGCAGAGAGCTCCTGTTTTCATGTCGACACGAGAGAAGCTGGTGGAAGTTACTCAAACCTGAGGCCGAAGGGCAGTTACTTTATAAACCTTAAGAGTAACCGAGGAGAAAGAAAAGGACCTCAAAGATTTCAGAACTTTAGATTTTTCTCAGTGATTTTGCAGAACATGAATGGAATTTGAGGCCAGAAGGCATTTGTACTTTTAAACTCAGTAACCAAGGAACTAAGTTTTCCTCTGGAATAAGAATAGTATTAAAATGTCTTCCAATTGTGTGTAATTATAATTTAGGTGGCGTCACGTCAAGTGTTTTTAAAGTCTACTGAAGACTGTAGGTATAGCTCCAGAACACATATTCTCTATTAAAATAAAAGCAAGCAAACAAGGAAAAAAAGGAAGGAAGGAAGGGAGAAAGATAGGGAGGAAGGGGAAGAGGGGGTGTCCCTGATTTTGAGTACTTGATAGTTTTTTGCAGCGAATATTAGATGCTTTAGTTATTAGGAATGAACTAATTTAGAATTGGGGAAAAAAACAACCATTATTACTTATTATTAAAGTGATCAGGCATTTCATGATTTTATGGTGACAATTTTGCAGAGCCACAGGTAAGTTTGGTAGCAGCCTGTTTTATTCCAGGTGCTCAAAAAGTGGAAGGGCTGAGACTATCTCAGGTGGCCTTGAACCACTGGTGGCTAAGGGACAGATAAAGGAGCCATGGGCAGCATGCATGACTTTGCATTTTGAAGGCTGTGTCGGCCAGATGGCTAGCATCTTCTTTTCCTGTCCTAACAGGTACCTTTGCAAAGTCTTCCCTCCGTTTTCTCTGAAGAGCCTCAGGTTGTGCAGTATTCTCCTGGGATGCCCATTGTGTCTCCCAGTCTGGTGACCTCCCACCGCCTCGCCCTGGTCCTAAGCTTTGAGGGAATTAGGGCTCTGATTACACTCGGCCAACCCAGACGGCAGCCTTTGTGACGTGGGAATCTCTGGATCTGCTCTTCTGGGTACAGCTTTGCTTTCCTGTTGGGCAGCTGAGCACAATAGACCAGATTGGGTTTCTGGATGTTGGATTCATTTTATGCTCCAAACACCTAAAAGTGGACGAGGATGTCCCATGTGTGAATGTGAAGTCTGTCTAAGGACTCTGGGAATAGCTGACATTCATCTGAATCAGGGTGTGGATTTTTCTCTGTTTATTATTTTTTGAGTTCTCAAATGATTCAGAGTGATTTCTTACTTGCATAAGATAAGATCACTCGGGGGTCACTGATGCATGTGTAATCGAGACTGCATTGTTTTCCGTTTGCTTGGCTCTGGGGGACAGAGAGCTCCCCTCCGTGCTCTCAGTCCTCCCAGGTAGCTGCAGAGAGCCTGCTTGCGCTAAGCTCGCCTAGGCTTCTCCCCAGATTTCTTGGTTGGTTAGTGCAGGATTGGTTAGAACACACACTCGCACACACGCCTCAATGCTTTGCAAGTTCCTAGTGGTTCTTGAGAGGTAGCGTGGGTTCTCCTCATCTCAACTGCAAGCTCGGTGTAAACTGGGGCCAGCCAAATACAAGAGGTTGTTCTTTCACAAAGAGACCAGAGCACGAGCTTTTTCCTAGCAGGATTCCCACTAGGTAAAGTCTCTGGAGAAGTTGAGGGTGAAGAGAGCCCCGTTCTTAGCCACAAGCCCGAGATAACTCTGTTTCTTCACCTGTCCTGGCCTCAGTTTCCAGGTGTGCAAACAGTGAGTGCGGTTCATCAAGGTGATCATCTCTTACCTTGGGACAACACTGAATTTCTCTATGTGTGGGAAAACTTGGTCATAACAATGAAATTCCACTGTAGGGCACAGGTCAAAAATTGCAGAAAGCCAGTAAAGGAGGTGACTTCAAGGCAGAGGTGAGTGTATCCCATACTAACAGCCTTCTGAAAGGCTCAGAGGGCCAGAGGGCCTCTTGCTTCTGAACTGGTGCAGGGCCCCAGGCCTGGTTCCTTGTTATCTTATCTGCACTACAGTAGAGTGGTCACGCCTTCCTCTTTCCAGGTGTCTGCTTCAGTCTGGGCTGCACCCAGCCGCCACAGCCCCTTCTGCAAAGACTTCTGGTTTGTCTGCATCACCTCCACTCTCAAAAGGCTTCTCTGCCCCAAAGCCATGGCCCTGCTCAAGGCCTCCATGGTTCCTGCATGGACAAGCCCAGGTCTGACTTCTTGCCCACCCTTCCGGGCCCGACTCCTATCCCCATCTCTCCTTATAGAGAGCCCTTGCCACAGCCAGGCTGGGTGACTCTGCCTTCACGGCGGCACCCTCCCCAAATATGCCCTGACCACCCCGCCCTTCTCCTTGCAGGTCCCCCTAAGCCACTGGTGTGGAAACCCTCATCCTCCTGCAAGGGGCACCCACCATCTCACTCATGCCTTGGAGGGTGATGGGCCATCGTGCCTTCCTGACCTTCTCAGTAGACAGTGAGGTTTTGCAGCGGTGGAGGAGGGGGCAGGAGAGATGATTGTGGTTTGTTACTCTCATGTGTCCCAGAGCAGGGCCCCCTCGCAGAGGCTCTGCACACATTGGCTCAGTGAGGGTTTCCGAAAAGTATCTTCTGGACCCCTATTTCCAGTCCTGGCCTCAGCTCACCGTCGCAGTGGAGCTTGATGAAATATTGGTTTATTGAACATTTACTTTGTGCCGAGTTGCTGTGCTTGCTGGGGCTACACAAAGATGAATGAATCATGGTTGGGGTGCTGGGCTTGCGTGGGAATGCGGTGGAGGGGGGAGAAATGTGGAGAACTCTAGGGTACAGTTAGAGATTCCAGAACGGAGCTGCATAGCACAGGTTGGGGGAAGGTGGGAAGAAGGGGAGGGCATAGGGGTCAGTTGGTAAGAGTCTTGCTAGTCTGGGATCGGAGATTGCAAACACATTGAAGGCACTAGCCAGACATCTGAATGCTTGGCAGTCTCTGGAGGGAACTAACCAGTGTAAGGACACGGGATCTCAGGCCAAGCCACTGCCCCATGAGACTCTAAACTTGGAGACTTCTAATTCTGTCTTTACCCCCGCCTTGCTGGGTGAGCTCAGGCAAACCATTTGGGCTGCTTGCTGCGGCTCGGTGGTGCTCAAGGATACTTGGTGGATGACTAATAAACCCCAGAAATGAGAAGTGCATCTCCCAGATAAGTCCTCCAGTTGACA